GATTTGGAATTTTTTCTTCAATTGTCTTTTCATACCATTACACAAATGCCAGCGATTCAGTGGTTTGTATGGTTGATAGTAGATGATGCTTTATTTCCTCTCTTCTCCTCTCTCTCTTTCTCTATCTCTGCATATTTGGCACACTATACCATATTGCCGTCATATATAGCGAATACCGTTTTACATTTTATGCTATAGATTAAGCATTTTAGTGGCTGTTGTATGGCATTATCATCCGCAACACCACCATCGCGTCATTGCCAGCGTTTCCTCTTTCAGAATAATGTTGGGTAAGTAAGCGAATATTGTTTTTACATCGTTCGCACTTTATTCAAACTTAATCATTTCGCACATTTATTGAATACGATTATCCATCGAATAATGGAAGGGAGCAATTTTGTGATTGCACATATTTTGTTCAATTGATGCGATAACGGAAAATGAAAGAACAAACGAAATGAAAATGCCTGTCAAATTCGTGCTTCGTACGAATTAAATTCCTTACTTAATTCTCAATTGAATACATAGTCAAAAGATTATTCCAGCCAAAGATTTATTTAAAAAATAAAATCGAAAAATAAGAAGATGTAGACAAGATGAATGGACGATCTTTTGTAATGAAAATCTTATATATGGCATGGTAACTGCTATTAAAAACGTACACACATACACACACCTTTCATGTGAAAGGTAGAGAGGAGGGCAGAACAAGAATTTTTGATCAACAAGGAGGCCTGATGTCACTAAGTTCTTGTCATGCATAATTTATTAAGTTTGATAAGTCGAGGTCGAATATGTCTGCAAAAGGCGTATTACAATTATGAAGAAACGCAAGAAAATTTCGATGAAATAATTTAAGGAATGTCACAACACGGTATTTAATTCCAATATAATGATGATCATCATCGGCTTTTCGATATCTCGTTATTAGTATTTCCTATCGCTTTCCGAGTGTGAAGTGTGATTAAACATTAATGAGTTTTATTCTTTTCCTCGCATTTTGCATGATAAAATATCATGTTCTCATTTTGTTCGTCGTTTTTTTTCTTTTCTTCAGCTCTTCATTAAGTCAAATATTTTGCAATAAGCACAGCAGTCCGTTTATAGATTGCTTTAATTTAAAGTTAATTAATTTCTATATTTTTGTTCATTTTCCGGTTTTCCATTTAGAATGGCCATAAGATGTTGTAGAATAGCTCTTTAAATAAGTTTTCTTTCTCTGTTCATTTATTTATCAAGTTCTTTTTTCCAAGCACAAAACGAACTGGCCCAACTAGCAAGCAAAACATTGCCGCGCGCGCCTGCATTGCATTTCATTTTAATGACGCAAATTAAGAGAATCCATTCGTTTTCAGTTGTACAATACTCGGGCTTCGGTCACATAAGGGAGTGTGCAACTCGGGAAAAATGAACAACACTTCGCGTTTAATGAACAACACGAAAAAAAGTGTACGTATTTTGTCGATGAGTGATAAGACATTTAAGTTTGCATCGTGCAGCAATTAATTTAATTTTCTTTTACATTTTGTTCGTTTTTTGTTTTGTTGGTGCGTTGATAAAACATACCTCTCACCTACTTTCTCACTGTCAATTTATTTGATTTCGAAATAAAAATGCTTTTAAGAACTGAAATGTAATATTGAAGCGCAGAAAAGCAAATTGAAGTGGTAAACATTTGTACTTCATTTGTCTGTCTTTTTTGTTTCTTTTTCAAAAAAGTCCAACAGCAATATTATGTATAGTCGTGTATTTTGCAAATAACTAAAAAAAATAAAACGATGAAAAGACTAATTCTTTGGATGTGACTATTTAATTGCACATCTTTAGACGTAAAGAGACAATTAGGAAGATAAAGTTCTCAATTCAGATTTATTTCTTAAATAAAAAAAACGTGAACATCTTTATTTTTCCCTGAAAAATTCTGAAAATAAAATTAAACGTTCTAATGTGCTATGATATAAATTAAATGCTCTTTTTTTAATGAAACCAATTTGAATTTAAACAATTTCAATGCGATACTTTCATTTTATAAAAAAACATTATTAAATCTATTTGATTCAAAGAAAATATTTCGAAGAAAACTTATACGAAATAATGTTAGCGAAATGTCCAAATATAAAAAGTAGTTGTTTTATTTTACTCGCTGCTTGCTTACTGGATAGCTGAAACTGAAGCTCCGCCTATTATGCCCCATTGATGACGTTGGCACCCAGTGCTCGTGTTACACAATAATTTTTCCAACCAACAAGCAAACACAGATTACACCAAGTATGTTAAAGGCGACAACAAGCTGTAGCAATATTTTATCGAAATCGAGAGAAAAAAAATGCAGAATGATAGAAAAGAGCGAGCGAGCGAGCGAGAGAGAGGAGAAAGAGAAATTCCAACAAAACTTATTTCATCCTTCTAAATCGAATGTCAAATTACTTCTATGCCTGAAATGTTATTTCAATTCTCGGCAATAAATCGGAAATGTGGACTTTTGCACGATAACAGTTTTGCTGATCGAATGTGTTGCCGTTGATTCTAAAAATAGACGACATTCGTTTTATTTACGTTTATTTTGTGGTCATAAACTATATTGTTAAAGTCGAAATGAAGAGAGTCAATTACAATATAAAATACTAACCGTATAAAATGCTTAAAGATTTTCCAATATTCATGATGATTTAATGAAATATATATGGCGCCACTTTGCATAGATGCCATCGTATTTATCATTTCAACCCGTTCGTTTTTAGTTAAAAATGAAAACATTCAGAAAACCGCAACGGATGAGTGCCCTGATGACTGATATACAATTTCTTGATTAAAGAACTTTGAAAATCTCTCTCTTTCTGTGCGTGTCTCTTTGACAATGGCCCACAGAATACCAATGAAATATTCCTTTTTGTATATCGTTGGCAATTTTATATGAATCACAAACAACGCAAAAAATTCGAATAGTCATTCTTAATAATGATTTTCATGAGCGCATAGCAATAAGACAATGAAAGATAAGTAAGCGTATGTGTTTGTGACTGCCCACGTCCACATACCACTCGTGATCTCACATCAGTAATTATATCGAGCGCCCTTATTTCACACACACGCTGATTATGACACTGATGGGCAACTGAATTGAACGGCATTGTGCTATTGAAATGTTCACCCACAAAAATATCGCTTAGAATAAATCAAATCGCTGCTACTGTTATACCAATTCAAATCCTTTTACAATTTTCAACTCACATTCACATCACACACACAACACACACACTACAAAAAGATTGCTTTCAAAATAAAAATTATCATTTGCAATGACCGCATATTTTAAATCGTAATTCCATCTAAATTCCAGAACAAAAATTACTTCTCATCGTAGATCCATGCATTTTAATGCTCAAATAACCGAAACATATACTACGATTGAAATTAATTTTCATATTATAGAACCAAAAAGCTGAAATAAAATCATGATTTCTTCAAATCAGGCAAAAGTTTGGATTGACTTTTGCATCGCATTCATTCTGTTATGACATTTATGCTAACATTTTATGTGTTGAATGCTGGTCGTATCTTGGCCAATATTGATCATGTACGACTACGATTTTTTTGTAAACTTACTTAAAACGAACTACTAACCATAATTTGTAATGTAGGACATAAAATATTAGTTGATTTTTGTAGGGCAGATAAAAACGCATTCGATTCACAAGAAATAAATCGTAGCTCAGCGTATATACAATTTTGACGAATTTTGATGTGACATTTTAAAGTGTTGACAAATAAAACAGAAATTCAATGCATCGTTTCAACTGTACCAAATTATAGAGTGTATAACGGTAAATGGTATAAGCACAAAGATGAAAACCAAAAAATGCTAACAAACAAAAATTCACAGAATTAAATTCTCAGTGGACGCGCGCAAATGGATTAATAGCCACAAAAAACACCACACAAAGACAAGAAATATGGAAAGAATAAAACAAAAAGTCGGTGCACAAATACACACACACACACACACCCGAGGCGAAGAGCAAAAGACAATCAGTTTACAAACGAATGAAAAATTTGCGATGCTCTGTACAGAACGTGAATATTATGGTGTATGCGTGTATGTGCGAGACGGCAAATGAATTCAAAGGGAACGATATTTAATATATTCAAACGGTCCATTTTCGAAATTGGCCATTGTTGGCCGGAAATAAGGATAATATCAAATAGCTTTTACATCTTTGATTGTTTGAAAATTGATGCCACTCAGAGAGTGTCAGTACCACGCATTGTACTTGCTGGACTGTTTTTTTTTCATCTGTTTAATGGTGGATTTTTGTATTTTACATTTTCACCAATGCATGTCATTCGGTATGCTCTCTGTCTAACTATCTGTCTCTCTTTCGCTCTGATTTACTTGCTCCATGGCAAACAAACAAACAAACAAAAAAACGGACAGAGCAGACACGGCGAAATATCGTTCCCATATAATTTATGAAACCGAATACCGCAAATTGATTGATTTGGCTATGCAAATACCGGACAATATTTCACTTGAATTTACATGAACATGTGTAGATGTGATGAAAATTTCTCGGCATGCATTTCATCTTATTGATTTAAATTTGAATTTCTATTCCAACGAATTTGAATGAGAAATCGAAGTAGATGAAGAAGAAAAAACAACGCAGATAAAAAAATGACAAATAATTCTCAGGGCGCATCCATGAAAATATATTCGTTTAAACAAAAGCAATCCGAGTCGATATTGTTTACCGAAGACACAAACATTTTATTGCTAATTAGAGCGAATGAGATGTCAAGTGTTGCTGCCAAAAATTGTTAAAGTTGCAGCCACAGTACACAAACATGCACGCACACATCATGCTGAACGACGAAATGCGTACATTGCTTAAGCAACAAACGTTAGACAAAGACATAATATAAAGGACAGACATTAAATATTAAGGAATTAGCGGTAAATTTTGTGTTTCATTTCGGTTTCAGTATTGAGTGAAACGTGATACGGCTGCATCTATTGTCAATTGAATTTCGTCATTTGTCCAACGCTGTTCGCTCGTTCGGTAAAAAAACATTTGAAACAAGTTAATTACAACGAAATTATGCTGGCATAAAGTATATTCGTATTTGTTATAAATATTATTGTTTTGACTGAAAAAAGTATTATTATTTTCACCGAGCTATATATTTTTATTGTGTATATTGTTTTGTTCGTTCGAAAATTGTTCGGATTAAATCCGAATCAATATTGTGTGTGTTTTTTTTTTATAAATATATTTTTTGTGCATTTTTATTTGAATCAACTGAAAAATGTCACGACAACGACAATCGCAATTTCGCAATCGAAACACAACCCGATCCCATTTGTTGGAAGATTTTCGATCACATCGATATCCAAATTTGCAATTAAATGAAATTGTCAGTCACACTGTTGAATTTGCTAGAGACCATGACGGTTCAAAATTCATCCAACGAAAACTCGATGATGCAACTGAAAATCGAAAAGATGCGATTTTCCGTGAAATGCGACCACATCTTGTATCGCTGACGATGGACGCATTCGCCAATTTTGTGGTTCAAAAATTTTTTGATGTCGGCAATGAATCACAAAAACATGAAATTGTCGCATTACTTCGCAACGGTTTCGTACAATTCAGCTTGAATAAGTATGCATGCCGTGTTGTTCAAAAGGCAATCGAAAAGTCAACAGTGATGCAACAGATTTCCATATTCGGTGATGTGAGCCAAGATCAAATTCTTCGACTATTTGTTGATTCGAATGGAAATCATGTCATTCAAAAGTTCTTCACTTGCACTTTTTTCGATATTCAGGTAATTTATCGAATTATAAACATATATTTCATGATTTATTAACATATTTGATGCGATACCTTAGGAATTCCTGTTCCGTCAAATCAGAGGCCGAATTTATGAATTGTGCATGAATTTATATGGTTGTCGTGTCATTCAATGCATATTGAAAAAGGGCGCATTGGCTCATCGCATGGAAATTTTTAACGAAATTTTTCCGCATTCAATGGACTTGGTGACACATCGCTATGGCAATTACGTCATGCAAAATACAATTCGTACGTATTTATTTTGATAAAATCGTACGAAAACACATGAAACATTCAATTTTTTAATTTTCAGTGCATTGTCCACCCTATCAACAGATGCGATTGATTACACTCATTCTAACAGAGATGCATGTACTGTCGCAACACAAGTATTCATCGAATGTCATTGAAAAATGCCTGACTGTCGGAGTTCAAGTAACACCGCATATTCTGTTGGACACTTTTCAAAAGATTTGTGCCTTGAATGCCCAGTAAGTACACGCCTTAAATATTGCATTCATTTCACAGTCTGAATACGATCTGAATACGATTCTGACTTTTTTATTGCAGTGACCTGAAAATATTATGCATGGACGCATTTGCCAATTACGTGATGCAAAAGATGATCGAGCTGATGGCACCCTGGATGGCTATAGACTTATATCAGAAACTTCGGCCGTTTTTTGTCGAAATGAAGCGCACTGTATGCGGCCGGAAAATCATCGATATGCTCATCGAGCGCCAATAGTACCTTTATTGGTATTTTTTTAATACGTGTTGTACACATATTATCCAGACTCTTTTTTTTTACTTAAAATAACTTGAAACAAACAAATTTGTTGACATTTTCTTAACAAATTGACAAATTTAATATCATTATTTGTCCGCATGTCATTTTTTAACATAGTTTTTACATATCAATGTAATATTAAATCAATTATTGTAAGTTTTCACCAATTGCAAACCAAAACCATCATGACAAACAGAAATAATTTTTTGTTTAAATGTGTACAATTTAAAAAAGAACAGCATTACAATAATAAACGGATGATTCGTCAAAGGAATAAATGAATAAACAATTATGAATCACGAAATGTGCTGTATTCACTTCTGAAGTTTTTCATCTTTCGAAACAGATAAATTTTGTATTCACCATTTCCAGTTGTTTTTGATTTCTTTTTTGTAGGTCACGACGTTTCAATAATTCGGTGTATTTTGAATTTGAAAATTGAATTAATTCGGAGATAACACCCTTCGCATTTGTCACATTCACTCGGTAAATTTTCTTCAAAAGACGATATCACTTTGAGCAATAAACCAAAATGCATACAAAATTAACCTATTCACAATTGCTTGACACATTTATCTGAATGAATTGAATATCAATTGATTCTAATTAAAGTGAAACCAAATTATCCAAAGGCATCGGTTCGTCGTCTTTTAAATCCCGGCTCATATGTCAATGCTGTTTGTGCAATAAAAATCGAAATATATGGCTAATTTATTGAAAACGGAATGGTATTGTTGTTGCATTAAATGGATTCAAGGAGAGAGAATGTGTCATATTACCATCCATTGACGTAAGTTGTAATTTATCCAAATTTACTGTTTGCTTAAGAGATTCTGTGCCAGATGAAAAAAAAAAACTTTTACGTTCTTGTCTAAACAACAATTTTCAATCGAAAATGGTCACATTTTCGTCGAAACTAAAAGGTCTCGATAAGAGCTAGAACCTCTCTTTTAAATTCTCCTGTCCAAATAAATACGATGTAACTCGAAAATGTAGAGCGGAAAACTTGTTGAGTCCTTTTTTCCCTTTTTTCTTTGCTCTTCCTGAATTACCTTCATAGTCACAGTAGCACGAAATATCCGACAAAAGTATCGGCGACAAAAACTGAAAGTCAAGAAACAACGGGAGCCACAGAAAAAAAGTGAGGAAAGAGATATTTTTTTTTTCCTAAAACAAAACGGCAAGAAGTAAGAAAATGGTTTGCAAGTAAAGTAGAAAAAAAAAACACACAGGAAAAAAGCATTTTTGCTGAAGTAAGGGTAAAAAAAAATAGTGAGTGAACATGTAAAACGTGTCCTTTGTGTCATTGTAATTGTATTGCAGCGATTGAAGGAAAGAGAAAAAAAGGATAAATAAAAAAGTGTGCATTTCGACTTAAGTGTTTCAAGACATAATAATGATAGACTCTTTATTCGTTGTCATGTCATACCAAAATGTTTTCATATATTTTACGTCATTTTTCTCTTTTACTTCGGCTGGATGGATTGTTTATTAGGTTGATTCTTTGAATCGTGCGTTGCATGTGGATATTCAACTAAATATGAAGCAACAATCTTCTTTTTTTTGTTGTTGTTGAATAGAAGCGTATCAAATCGCTAGATTTTAATCTGTAGCAAGAGTAACCTGTTGATAAATTTCATTATATTCCGTTCGTTCCATCCCAATGCCATAGTGTATGAGATGCGATTAATGATTTCAGATTCATATATTTATGGAGCAATTCACACGAAGTGCATTTGCGTTGTTGTGTGTGATCCAACAATAAATGGCAACAACAAAAACTAACAGGAAAACGTTGCTGCCGAATTACTTGAAATCACACCGAATGGAAAGGCGCATGCGATTTTAGAGGCGGAGCCGAAATTCGAATTACAATTGCTCTGCTTTGCTCCACACTTAGCCCACTTGCTATGTGCGACACCACACTATCATGAATATAAAACAAATAACGATGTACGTCCGTCTTTATTTTCTATATTTTTTTTAACTCGTCGGGGTGATTTTTGTTGTTGTTGTTGTTGTTGGCGTTGTTGTTGGCGAATCAAATGAGCTTGAACACGGCCTAATATTGAATTGGAAAAATATTTTTATATCCAAAAAATGTTTATTTTTAGTTTTGAAGACTATTAGAATTGTACCATTTTCTAGACAAAGGATGATCGACATACTGATATAACCATTATCAGTTTTTTGTCTCAATTTTTGCGCGATTCATATAAAAATTAAAAAGAAAATATAATTTTAGGTTATTTACCTTTCGAGTTGATTTTATGTAATCGATCATAGAAAATTACAAAGAAAATGCTATGCTGAAATATGAGTACCGTAGTTTCTCCTTTCAACTCACATGCGCTTGATGAGATGTGCTTGAATTTAAATTTTAATTAAATATCAATTGCTTCAAACTTGCCAGTCGACTTACGTATGGTACCATTGGAAGATGCAAAAACCTTAAAAAATCTGGAAGAAGAAGAGGAAATGACGAGAAAAAGACATTCATATTTTTAATAGTATTCATTTTTATTGACAATTTATGGACTTTAATTGGGTATTAATACAAAATTTTTTAGATCAGAATATACCTAATGGTAGAATAGTTTCCAACAATTGAATTACTAGTATTTCTTCATATTATCCATTAAATGAATTGAGATAACTTATCTGTGATTTGTTGTTTTTGTTTTGTTTTGTTTTAAATGTAATTTTTTTTTTCTTTGAAAAATCTCAAATGTGTTTGCTGTTTTTTGTAATCTAAATGTAAAGCTGCATAAAAAGCAAAAAAAAAATTGTAAAAGTGCTCAACCGAAGAACAATTTTTGGAGGAAAAATGAAATTAAAATGTACCTTAAAAACAATATTTTATTGTTCCGCCATTCAATGTTTAATACGATTTAATTCATAATCAAAATATTCAATATTCAAAAGTTAAATTGCAACAAATAAGTAGCAATAATTTATTTTTACATTGCTGTGATCGCAAGTTAAAAAAATAGAATTATATATGGATGATTTTCGGATTCAAATGTCACATTCAATAAAACATGAAAAAAAAACACAATAACCCGAAAAGCAATTCCAATCACATGCTGTTATCTGAAATTCTCTCATACATGTGATAACATTTAAGCAAATAATTATTTTGTATCTCATTATATCGTTTCAATTAACCATTTCATTACACAAATTAAAAAATAAAGCAAACATTGAATCTAATACACTTTCTTTTATTCTACGTGATTTTCATGTGTGTGTGTGTGTGTGTTTTTTTTTTGTCTGTTTTACGGCAATATATTTACGAGATTAAAGCGCTATATTTTAATTTCTTAAACTTGTAATAATTTTTTTGTTTTAAACTTGTCTGTGTGTATGTGTATGTGCATGTGATGTTGCAAATCATCATGAGAAGTTTGGAAATCGGTTTTAGGTTGAACTAGATGCGATTTATTTGAATCATTAGATGGATTATTTTGTCAAGTCTTTTGTTTTTTTTTATTGATTAATAAAAATCTTTTTTTTTATTAGAGTATCCAGAAGATTCATAAAAATGTTCGATAAAAGTTAAGCACTATGGAACACGAGAACTTGGAATTTACGGCATATTCCACGCATTTATGTATGAAGCGATTTCATTTTTGCGTGTAAAGAGGACCGGCCTATTGATTTCATAAATGAACGGAAATGTTGGCGTTTCGTAATAACAATTTTGAGCTATGAATCTGGCAGTTTTTTAAAAATTAGATTTTTTTTTTTGAACATTAATCCGAACATAACATAAGCACTTTCATTCATATGCTAAAATTCTTAAAAGTCGGCACTTCCATCATATGGACCAATTGGTTTTAATATGCATTTCAAAACAGCATCAGTGGTGTGTATCATGCGATATTTCTTCATAAGAATTTACATTACCTCTATTTTTAGTCAGTTTGTGCTATCTCTGGATATTTACCAATTTAATAGGAGAATGGCAGTTTTCATTTCATTTTGACAATTTTTATAATATTTTAAATGTCTGAATTACTAGAAAATTGTGTACGCAATTCCTTTAATTACGATGGCAAAGCTTGAGATGAATAAGGAACTGTATGCTGACAGACAATAGCAAATGAATGGTGTTCAAATGGTGTAAGTTTATCAGAAATCTTTGATTGAAGTAAATGCGCACGTTACGATATTATCTCCAATATGTAAATGCAGTTAATCAAAGAATTATGCAAAAATCATTATTGAACTATTTTTCATTGGGTGTGTGCCTTGCTGACAAAAACAATATGATGTGATAGTCTTTTCTTCACAATTTTTTTTCTCTTCTTTGATTAACTTCAAAAATTTGCTCGAAAGCATGAAACATACAAATTTAATATATATTCTAAAATTTTTTTAAATATTTAATGAATAAACATTGGAAAAAATAGGCGATTAAAAAAAGAATTCGTGAAATGTGATGATGTGATAGCAAATTATGGAGTTGAACAATTCTTTTTATCTTCACTTTTCTAGATGAAACAACGAACGAAGGGAGACCGTGAACATACAAAATGACCGAAACTAAATATCGATTTAAAATGATTGAATGGTTTTATTTTTTTGTTTTTGACACATGCACATTGCATTTTAAACAATATATATATATGTATATTTGCAGAATTTTTTTTAGCTGTACTATTTACGGAAACGGAACAATCGGCTGATAGGAAAATTGTTTATAAATTCTGTGCTAATTTTAACTGTATCTCACACATTTGTTCTGATTAGCTGCCTATTTTGTTTATCTTGATAATTTTATTGTTCCGAAAAAAAACGAATGATTATAAATGAAACGTATTTATATCGGTTATCATTTCTGTTTTGCATTTTCATTTTTTTTTTTTTCGAAAGTAAAATTGTCAATTTGTGTCTGTGTGTGTGAGATGAATCGAAATTACATAATATATCATCGTAATCAAAGTATTTAAAAATGGAAAACAAAACAATTTTTCATTCTTTGATATTCGCCTCCTTTCGGTCAGTGGCAACAAAACAAAATATCAACAATTCTCTAGTCGCACTTGTGGGCCCATTTCCTTAGCTTAATTTCAATATATCGCAACTTATTTTTTCATTCTTTTGCTATGTAGGATTTCAAGAAAAGAGAAGTAAAAATATCGTAGATGCTTTTTTAAAACGAAACTGCAGCTCCATAATGATATAGTTTCGCGATACGATGATTTTTTGTGTATTTCATGATGATTCTTTTTTTTGTAATGTGCTTTCAAACGGCAAGCCTTACACTCACAATATTTAAATTTAGGTGCATGTTTTTTTTGATGACTTTCTCTGTGCGAAACATACATCTTGAAATAAGGTTAAAAAAAAGATTGGAACCTCGCGCGCACATATTTTCGAATATTCTGAATTTTTCGGTTGGTTTTTGTTTATTATGCTTATATGCACCCTTTATGGTTACTTCGTTCCATTACATAACTACTAAAATAATAATATATATAGGCTATTTTCCCCGTTTCGTGAACGTATTCTTTAGTTCTCTTATTCCATCCACTGAATGTCTATGATTTGTTCTGTGTTCATTAAATGCGTTACAAATCATCGAATGGTTGTGTTTTGCTATTTCTAATGGTTTTTCTCATTTAGTCGCTTTTTTGCACTATCTGCTTGTTTGATTTTTGAAGTTCATATAAAATATTTGGATGTTTTTTTTTTGCTTGCTTGTTTGTCTGTTTGGGTTGAGAGTTGTTCATACAATTGTTGCTGGTGTGATTTATTTTGTTTGTTTAAAAAAAAACGTGATTCTTGCGTTAATGTATTTATGCTTCAACCTTCTTCTTTTCCTTTTTCTTCTTCAAAAATGACGGTGTTCGGAGTCCCTTCTTCTTTTTCTTGTCTTTTTTCGGTGATCCTTCCGTAGACATATCATGCTGTAAACAAATATAACACAATTTGTTAATTGAATAATTCATTATGTTTAGAGTATCCACGGTATTAACTTACCTCTTTACTGCTATGTGAAAGTGTACTGATGTGAGCATCGGAATGATCTCCGTTTTGTACGTGTTCACCTACATAGATAATCGAAAGAGCAAAATTCATTAAACCTCTATCTGTCATATGTGTACTGAGGCGTCGATAAAGTGACGCTTTATATAAAATATAATGAGCGATTATAGTGCGAGTGCAGATTTTTCTGATGAACTTTATTTAGTGTCATTGACATAATCAGAGTTTGAACATTCTATATCTATAATATATTCTATTTGATGTGTTTTCCTGCTCCATTATATGTGATATGATAAAAAATAATGTTAAAATGATAGTGTATCGATGGATGATCAAGCGATTTGTATCTCTTTTTCACTATCTATACTTTTTTAAAGCAACAATAAATATGAATTAATAAAGCATTATTTCTTTGTTTAAAAAAAAAACGCAAGACAAAAACCAGACAAAACAAAATAAAATTAGTTAATTACGACCAAAAAAATGCGACCAAGTGAAAAGTGATTATTTGTTCATTTTGAGCTTGTAGTAATTCGGACGATGTAACGATTTGCACAATGGACGGAATTTTCATCGATTTGCGAACATTCTTCAAATTCATCGTTTGCAGGAAAAATCATCGAAATATTTGACACACTATCAGATTTATCGTACGACTCAGCCGTATCGTAAACACTTTCATCGAATTGACTTGAGTTTGATCGTCGTGGTGTACTGCTTTTGCATAGACTGCATTTGATTCGACCGGGAATGTTATCCTTGAATTGATCACTGTGTTGAGTTTTTGACACGTTGATTTCCAATGAGTTTGAATCCCGTTTTATCCAATATGGAATATATTCGGTTTGATACCTGAACACATCTGATTCTTGTGGAAAGTGAAAATGTTTGGGTATCAACATTTGAGAAGGACAGCGGAAGCCAAAATGTGAATTTGTACGATAAAAACGATAGCCAATGAAATCCGACCATTTTTTCCAACACGATTGAAATGATTGCATATATAGAGATTTTGAAACTTCAAGAATAACAAAACGCAATACCAAAACGAAAAGAGAAAGAAAATAAGCGCATTAAATTATGAAAAATGATAACAGTGAATGACCCCGAATAAGCTACCTTAATACTAACTTAATGTATATACGCCCCATGGTAACATGTGTTAAATTTTTACACAAGCCAATGATAAAATCCAATTATGCAATATTGTATGAATTTAAAGCGAATTTTTAGTGATCATCGAATGAATGAATGATTTTTACAAAAGAAAATGTAATGGAAACATTGTATTTGCTTTATCGATGAAAGGTTTGAGCATTTCATTGTAAAAAAATGCCAATTTACCTTTGCTTGTCGATGCGTGGATTATTTCATTCTTAATAAAATCAAGAGTTGCTATTTCAAAAATAAAAACAAACAAACAATATTTTAATAAAAAACAAAAAAAAAAAATATACAAAAATCAATTGACGATTCGCTTCACAAAAACGCACACACAATCCAAAATAAATTCCAATGTCAGAAGAATGAAAAATAAAACTTGCAAAAATGATTAAAAAACAGCATTCCAAATATTCGGCTACAAAATATGGTTCATAATGGTTTTAATTGAATTATTTGTCATCTTTTTTTAACGATGTATGTAGGGAATTTAAAAAAATAAGTGGCTAGCTAAACTCACCACCATATTCGTTGTTTGAGATGTTTCAACGACACATGGTATAAAAACAACGTTACATTTCATTGATTTGTTAGCACTGAGAGCTTTTCAACTAGCACATCATCAAACAGAGAACAACATTTCGTCGTTTTAATGTTCGGTTTGTGTGGATGTGTGGGTAGTACACAGATTGTTTTATTTAGTAGTCATTTTTGTTGTTGAATATTACCGCAATATGTGCAGCAAAATAATATGACTTCACCAAATATATCCATCTAATACATTTCGAAGACATTTTTGGATTCTACTTTATTTCCTAATCTAAATCAATTTTCGTCTAAAAAACTCGATTGTCCACTATTTATTCTATAAATTAATGAAATTATGGTGAAAATGATTACAAACTTACCGTCACTGAGTACAACTTCTGGTTGACTTGGTACAGGCGCTTGCGATGTTTCTATTCGATGAACTTGTGGTGCTGTATTAGTTCAGAAGAAACAATCAAATTAATATGAAGCGAGAGAGAAAAAAACAACAATTTTGTTAGTTACCCGAATCGCCACCGAGTTTAGCCGGTCCGGAAATTTGTAATGAACTCAACGCTTCTGATTCAGAGAAATCGGTATCGGTATCTATATGAATGATGTGATGTCATTATAATTGGATGGAAGTTCAAATTTAATTTCCACTATACTCACAATCGCCGTGTCTTTTTCGTTCAACGGTTTTTTTGTAGTCGTTTAATTCATCGTCAGTAACGCAATCGAATGGATTTTTGGCGTATGGTGCCTTATAAACGGTGGCATTATGCTGATAACCACGTTGAATGATACCTTTTGATGCGGCTCCCATTAATACAACATGATCATTTGCTCCAGATGTTGTTGCATCTTTTATTCTATTTGCTTCGTCCCAAGTTACACCTTCTAAAATATGTGATTGCGGACCCGCTGATATTTTATCGGCACGTCGATTATCTTTTATCTTTTATGCGATAGAAAGGGAGAGAAAAGCAGCAACAAAATAAATAAAATCCAATATTTATGTGTATGGTGCACACATTGTGTGAGTTAGCATTCAATTGCGTAATTTCACCGTTTCATCACTTACCAACTGTTGCAATTTTTTAAATTCTTTTGGATTCGTTCCAGTCGGCACAAATTGTAATGGATTTTCAATGCGAACAGCACTTGAATGTGTTGGTGAGCCATCAGCAACCCACTAGTTTATTTTTATGTATTTTTTTTTTTTTTGCATTCCATGTCACAAATTGTATGTACAAACCGGATGTGTAATTGTGCAATTCATTCCAGATAGTGGAGTTGTTATGCATGCATTTTATGAAACGATTGTGTGGGAAAAAGGATGAACACCGTTGAAAGCCCCCATCGGTATACGGACGCAATGAAGTATATATAGAACATGCAGCCGAAAATACGCAGAGTCATACCACCACAGAGACACAAACCAACATAAGTATAAAAAAAAGAAAAGAAAAAAAAGAAAATGAAGAATTCATTAGCGACAAATTAGCATTAAATTCATCTGTAAGTTGGTAGTTCATTGCACAATTATTTCTATGAACTCAACATAATTTCGCTTTTTTTGGTTATTCAACTAGTGTATGAGTAATAAAAATCAATTTACATTCAAATTCTTATTGGGTTAGATGATTGAATTTTTTTTTTCATTTCAAATGTTAACGGTAAAAAAAAATGTTTTTTTTTTGTTATTATGAGAAAATTTTGTTGTGATTGCTTTTTTTTGTTTGTGAACAATATGTTGTCGAATAAGAAGCTGTGCCTAGATGTTTTTTTCACCTAAATCTGAATACGCCTAGCAAAGTCCATTTGTCGCTAACAGTACTCTTATTTTCTTTTTTCTCTTTTCATCAATCAAAGAGCATTTGGATTCGCAAGCGAATGTTCGAAAATGAAAACGATTACTAAGAAACGACACACCGTGCGCATGTCAATCAAATGAATAACAAGCAAATAGAGCAGAAAATGATGTGGCATAGAAACAAAAATTAAAAACATAAATTAAAAATTAGATTGAAACAAAATTTTCTTCTCTAGGCACACACTTATTATTATTCATCTTGTGGTTATATTATAAATTTCAGTAATTTCAAATATGATTGTTTCAAATAATTAATTTTGCTAGCAAATATTTTGTCCAATTTGTATGTGTGGAAGTCTATAATATTACTATATATTTTTTATCTTTTGTTTATCATTTTCAATTCAATTTGTCCGCTGACAATACGACTAGAACAATAGTGTTTGTCAAAATTATTTTCTTTAATTCATTTAAAACAGTATGATGTGTATTTCATTTATGGCAATTCTATAGGATTTGTGCGATTTTTTTTTTCTAACTACAAAACTCAATTTTATAAATTAGCACAAAATTGGAATTGAATTTGGCAAAAAGCGTTTCAGTTTCAGTTAGCTGCATTCAATAACTAAGAAAAATATATATGTGTATGTATATGTTTTGAAATTTCATTAATATTTTTTTTTTCTTCAATTTAAAAGCATTTTTCAAGCATAAAAATCGTCTGTGTCAAATTAACCGAAATTCACAAACATTTCCAAAGTTAAAATGACACGCTTCTCTCACAATGCTTAGATTTATTTATCAAAAGACGATTTCTTTGGAATGTTTTCATAAAATGTAACTGTAAATTTGTTTTTGATTGAAATTTGCTTGAATTTTTTTTTAAACAGATTTAAATAATATCGTCATATAATGAAGCATTCTTTGCTTATTTTGTTATGTAATATTTTGCTATAAATAAGCATTTTACATAGATTACTCTAACGACTAAAGCGTTCACTTGATGCCTCTAATATGGCAGTGACACGATTTATTGTTTTCTTTTGTTGTTTTCGAAAAAAAAAAATCGGCGTTAATTGAAACGAGCGTTTCTAGTTTTGTTTTTAATCTCATTTTTGCGGTTAGAATTTAGGCATTTTCAAATTTAATGATTTCTACCTTGGTAATTTTCTTGGGATCCGTTGTACCGGTTTCTAACACTTCAACCTTTTGGTAGACATTTGGTGAGTTCAACCACCGTGATCGGTCACCACCTTTGCGCAAATCCGATTTCTTCCAAATGCTGCAGAATAAAAAAAAAATCAAAATTATGAATCAATGAATCGGTTTAAATTCGATTTATTTTAATCAACATTACCCTTGTCGATAGAGTTCTTCTTCTTCAAGTAGATAGCCAAGCGAAGAAACTGCTGGTGGCACTTCAACGTCATTTCTTGGTTTCGGTAGTTCGGATTTAACTAACGGATTGCGATAAATGTAGCCGGTACGGAAGCCAGCATTGTCTAGCATACGCATTAGGGCGTCAAATTCAGCACTGCCAACTCGCCATTTTGGAGCCTTGATTTAAACAATAACGAAACAAAATCGTTGCATGATTTGGCATTTATTTATCTTAAACGTACATGCACGCTTACCTGTGATCGTGGTCCTTCTTTGTTGCTATCAGTTTGATCTTGTTTTTGTTGTTGTTTATGTTCGTAGCCTTCTGGTGGGCGTCGTGATGCATCATAGATTGTTTTGCGAGTTTCTTCTGGAATCAAATTCAAATTGTCCAAACCAACGGGTAGCAGTTTCAATTGTGTTTCACATGCCTATACATAATCGTTTTAGAAATTAAAAATGTCAACGTTTAATTCGAAATGTTTACAATTTTCAATTATCCACACATAAAAAATAAACGCATACCTGAACTATATGGTATGCTGAGTAAAATGCTTCCTCAATTGTTTCGCCACAACATAAAGCCCCATGATTGGCGAGCAACAATACTTTTGATACTGGTCCCAGGCTACGAATCAATTTTTCCTTTTCTTCTGGTTCGCTTAACGAACCAGTGTACGAGTGTGTTGCAATTTCGCCAAGAACTGCCGCATCATTGGTAAGCGGCAACAGGCCGACTTTGAGTGATGAGACAGCAACAACTGGATTGCAGCCAATATAAATAGCGCAACGAATATCAGGACGTGCAGCATGCACAGCTGAATGCAATAAGTAGTCTGTTGAATAAACGAAAAAATTAAAACAATTTAGTCAATTTTTGGTACACATAATATCAAAAAAATCGAATGCATACGTCTCAAATTGATGCCGAAATTGGTTGTGCCTTGTTCCACAACATTTCCCTGCATATCAGCTTTGTTCAAAGATGAGGCAGTTATTTCGTGATACATCAAACCAAATGGATTGACTAAGAAGAGCTCTTGATCGGCATTCAAACGAGCAGTAACCTGAGCACCCAATCCTTGTGTCCAACCATATAAATCAAGCAAACGAAATGTGGCCGCCAATTTGCAACGAAGAATTTTTTCACCCTTTGCATAACCCATCGATTCAACGCCACGAATATCATTCACCGGCAATACGCAATTGGAATTCTTGAATAGACTGCCAACACGTGCAACTGGAATACCGACCATTTCGGAAATTTGTTGTAAAATTCCAGATGTTCCTTCGCGACCATGATTATCGACGATACGCTCTAATTCTTCACGAAATAGACGCGACGACATAATTGCCTCTACACGTTTACGTCGATCCATTTCTCGCATATCCTGCAAAAAAAAAGAACAGAATTTTTGTTTTTACAAATATTTGGTGAAAAATTGAGCGATAACATCTACTTTAATGTAAATAACTTACCGCTTCAATATCGGCTGGTCGAACTTTGTTGCTATCATCTTCTTCGATCGTTTCGATGCCATTCGTTTGAGGTTGCTGCTCGACTTCAGTCATTTTGTTTGAATTGATTTGTTATGGAGAATGTGAATCGTTTTTTCTATTGCTCGAATTTCTGCAAACGAAATACAAAATAGACATTTAAATTTTAATTCAATGGACTATATGATGGATTTGTGAGGGGAAAAATGTATTTGTTTTTTTTTTTGTTCTCAAAAATGATCCCAGTGAACCTGTCGACTCAATTAAAAGGTATACTGAACATATTTGACAGCCAAGACAGATCAGCTCCATCCGGTCAGAGCCTCTATCATAATATTCATAAATCGATAACGATGCACATTATAAGCTTCAATGCATTGTACAAAGTCATTAAATGATATTTTTAGTACGGTGATGTGTCATATCGTAGAGAATGCAATGTTTGGTTTTTTTGTTGTTATCGTCGCATTTGACCATTTACTTGTTTCATTTGGAGGCCTCATTGTGGTGATGCAACAAGTTAATGTTAATACGACACGTCGTCGCATATATAAATATTTGCAGGCACGAAGCATCACCATTAAATCGATTCGAAACTGACGAGATAAAAGAAACACCAAACGTATTGCTCGTTTCCTTATTCCATTCGCGGTATTTAATGTCATATGTACAAACAAAATGAATATTGTTGTTTTGCTGGTAAGTATTTCTTATGCTTGTTGCATTTCCATTGAATCGTCATCGAAAAATCGATGATAAAAGTGACTTCATTAATAAAATTAAATTGGAATTGCATGATTTTCATTTCGAATATTATGTGCGCTTCGCTAAACTATTATCCAAGATACCAGTGCATTTTTGAATATTGTTTTTGTTTCGATTATTCGCAACAACGATAAATTCAGACAGATTCAGACTGAAGAAATACACAATCACATTGAATTATATTTATTATGGCGTTTATATTACATACGCGTCTCCAATTTGGTTAAAAAGTGAAAAAGTGGATTTCTTTCGATATGGACTTGTTTGTTTCTAGTTGTTTTTCTCTCTCTTTTTTTTATCCCGTTTCTTGTTCATTTTCTTTTGATATCAAGCACCAACATTAAATTTGTTATGTGCTCGCACACAGGCCATTGAACTGCATGAACAGTCCAAACGGTAGACCAAACCGAGCGCGAACCACATTTTGCAATGAAGCGTGATGCATAGCGAATGACAATTTATAAACTGTGCACAGCGAATCTAAATCATTTAATTCCATTTATTGGTGTTTATTATCTTGATCGTCGTATGTTCGCCTAAAAAGAAACAAACATATACGTGTGCGCGCGCGTATATCCACAAAATCGGTTTTTATTACAATGATTCGCTCAAATCATTGTTTTGCATTAAACAAATTCTCTATAATCTATGCATTTTCCGAGATTAAGTAACACGATGCATACAACAGCACATTTTCAATAAGCGTCACAAAGCACAATAGACAAAAATAAATATATACGCAGACACACACACACACTATTCATTCACAATGAAGCTGTTATCGATGCCATCGTCGAACACACCCGGCATTCTTCTCACACAAATTAATTACAAATCTAAAATTACATTCACAGTCTGTCGGCTCAATACAATGACGGCAAGGTCTTGTTCAACAAATCGTTCAATCGGCGAATCGGTGCTTTTATCTTTATTTATTTTTTTTATCTTCAGATTTGTTTGAAACAATTGATATCACTTATGAAATTCAAGAAAATACTTTCTTATTTGTCATATTAATTGGCCATATACCAAAGAATATGAGTCATATTTTGAAGATGTTTTAACGATATTTTATGCGTAATCGATACAGATATTGGCTACTATCAGCTTGGAAACAAAACTTTTACTTTTAATATTTGTGTACACTCACTCGATTTGTGTACACTATATGCATTGAACTGAGATTCTTTCTTACAAACAAATGAAGAATGAACATTTTGTTTACTTGATGACATGAAATTTATCGATAAAAAATAAATTGATATGAAACGATTAGGTTTGAAGTGTATTACACACCGACAATTGAATTAATGATAGACTTTACAAGAAGCTCAAACATCTCAAGTTCAATTAAACGAAATGTTCAGACGGCTCCTTTAGGCAATCTTATCAATATTTTATGAATGTATAAATCGATACAAATGTAAAATGATGATGATAATGAGAATAAATGATATCGAACTTAAGGTGAAATCGAACTATTTCGAATGCGGCATATATAACGATTTTGTGTTAAGTAAGTTGTCGGTATACGTATACAAATGACGATTGTGATGATCACATAGTGATGATTGAATTTATGTAATCGATGAAATGATGGTGAAATGGTGTGCACAAGAATTCATGAGTCAATTGGAACGAAGAGAGGCGGGTCTATTAACAGTTACAAAAATGAAATAATAACCCAGTTATGGATAATTGATTGAACGGTTATTGTCTATACATATACGCGCATATATTTACGTATACAATCTGTCCTCTCAATCTTCATTGATTACGCTTCATTTCCATAATGCATTTCGATTAGCATATTGTCGGCCGTGCCACGATGTGGATGTGTGTGCGCGCGCGTTATAAAATCCACACAAAATACACCTCGATGATTTTCACTTGATTTGTTCGCGGATCATAGTGCAATGCGTCATGTACCAGAATGCGAATGATATAAAAATGAAAATAAACTCGCTTTGTACAATGTACCAGACCAAATACGTTGAAATCGCCAGTAACATATTATTATGGCATTTAGCCGTGTTGAACCGCTCATTTGTTTTTTCGCCAATTCGTTTTGCTTTAACTCAATTATTATAACTCTGACACATAATCATCATTAGTGCAAACGTAGCGCAATTTTATTATCGTCTCACTTGATTGTTTTCTGTTTTTTATTCATTGCAATGGGTGCACAATCAGCCAACAATGCAGCATCGGCACGTATACTAGAATCGATACATGCTCATTAGATTTTTTTTTTGTATGAGCATTTTCTATTGCATTCTTCATTCAAGCGCGTATAAGACGTGAGAGAAGTAGCCTTATTGAATTCGCGTTTACTCTTCACTTTATTATTGGATATTTTTTTTAATAATAATAATGTAATAACAATGTATGTATTCATCTTTTAACACTTAATTTTCAATTGAATTGCAAAAAAGATGCAAATACACGGTTTGTATCGTACATTTTTACTACAAATTTTCATTGTTCCTTTTCGTTCGAAGTGTATGGAATCAATTGGTTTCAACCGTTTTACTATTATTATTGTTATTTCTCTCTCTCTCTCTCTCTCTCTCTCTCTCTCTCTC